AAATTTTGAAGAGTAATTTAGCATATTTAATTATTTTTAATTTTTTATGATTTTTGAGTTGTGCAAAAAAATTTTTAAAAATTATTTCAGTAAATATACAAAAATTTAGTTGGCACTGCAGCCAACTGCATCTAAGCAAATACATTAATGCTGATATATTTGTGTGAAAAAAATTGAAAAACTTTCCAATTCCACAAATTTGAATGGAAAAACTCAAAATAAAAGCATGAAACTTGAAAGAATGGTTTTTGTTTCGCACCAAAAATGTAAATTTATAATTTATTATAATTAATTAATTAATTAATTGATTATTAATAATAATAGCACTGTTATTTAATTTACGAAAAAATTTAGTACAAATAAAAATTTGCTATCACAGAATGGCATGACAAAATTTTTTTACATCAGAATGTGATTTGGCTTTTTGCAAATACTTTGAGATAGAAGAGGTAAAATAGCACTAAAAGCTGAGATAATTAACTTTCCAATCATTCGATTTAAGCTTGATTAAACGTCCATTTTCAGAATAAATTTTGCATAAGTAATAGTTTTAGTATCAAAAATGTTCGCTAGGTCAAAGGTAATTTGTAACTGACTTTTGTTTTGCGTAGCATTGGCTTACTATTAACTTTCCAAGTACATATTTATGATGGATGTACTGTCCACTGCTTCATACAAACTGACTGGCAGAATAGCAAGTGCCTATTTGGAACAATCCATTACTATTTATCATTACTTTATGAAAGCAATTTTTTAGCTTGTAAATAGTTTGTATGCAAAAAGTGCCATACAAACAGAAATTAAATTTTCAAAGCAGTAATTAAATTATTGGATAATTATTTTCATATTCAAAATTAAAAATTAGCTATAAAAGAGCAAATATTTTCTTCTGTTTAGTTTTAGATAATAAAAATTGATGTACTGCAACTGGATGAAAGTGAATTCATACAGACTGCTTCGACTTGATATATTAAATCCACAAGTAAAACACGTTAATACTTCGTACTTAAGCAAGAAGTATACTGAATACTGAATATTTACTCAACTTTTTACTCAATATTTTAATTCAGTAAAAAAGTATAAAGATTAAAGGTCACTACGCAAAAACATTAATTAATCTACGTGATAGTTAATTACTAGTCCTGCAAGCAAGCAGACTACATCATGCCATAATAATTTACGAGTATTTTGCTGTAAAGTAAAAAAGTTGTGCACATTTTGTTCTTACTTATTCTATTCTAAAGTGAAGAGTAATGCAGGCCGAGAAGTACTCGTAATTAGTCACTTTCCTCTAAACACTTGTCTAAATCTCAGTCAGTGGCATGAAATCCTTTCTCGAGTCTAAATTACGTCTAAAATCTTCTGATACACTACTCAATTATCTATGAATTTTTTGCATTTCCAATTTTTTCCACTCTTTTATTCTCTTTTGTAATAAAAAATTTCACTTTAATAAACTTGCATAATTATATCCTTAGTAGATTTTCTTTATGATTGTAATGTTAAAAACGTTACTTCACCTTTACGTGACATAATTAAACGTGAATTATTGACGTAATGTCAATATTTGAAGCTATTCATGCATATTTGTACATGTCAGAAGATAAAAGCTAAAAAACTTCTGTCTTAGCTAAATGCCAAAAATACCTAGCTAGATTGATCCCAATGTAAGCTTTCTGCTCTTACTTCAGGAGCATCGATTAGCTGCCCAATAGCGTTCTTGGCACTTTGCCAGTAGTCAAGGCATATTTGAGTTTTTTCAACTTTATATTTGGTGATTTGCTTATGTCTTGTTGCGCCCTCAGTAAATGTGTGCAATTACACTTTAATATTATTTATTTATTTATTTATTTGTGTATTTTACTTATTTATTAGTATTGTTTCTTTTTACAGTTTTAATCGTTTTTGCTAATTTCACCTATTTTTTATTGCCAATTTTGAAAAGTAATACTTTTTTATTATATTAAATGTTTTTTAGTGCAAGAAAAGACTGAAAGCAAGTTAATTTAACGCTCGCTCTTCAAAGCAAATACTTAATTGAATTCAAAACATTTCAAATTGATTGCATCTTCTTTGCTTAGCATCGATAATTATGTCGTGGCTATTTTAGGTATTATTAATTCAGTTTGTTATTTTTAACCTAATTCATTCTTCTCAGGTCAGTAATTTGTAAAAAGTTAGTCTTTCAGTAATTGATTAGTTTTAATAATTCAAATTAGATAGTTTTTGTTGATGAAAATTTCAAAATTTTCAATTTCAGGAGCAATTCAAAAATAATTTTTGTAAAATTGAACAAAAAATTTTTTCAAGAGTAATTCTTTGAATAAAAATATGTGTATAAAAAAAGTATTACTTTGCAAAAATAGTATAATATAATAATAATAACAAAATCTCGTTTACGAAATAGACTACGGATGACGTCTTATGACATCATTCTTTACTCGCATACA